ATAATGATTTTTTATTTGGGTGTTTGCTACTAAAAGTCACTCCGAGTAGTTTTAACATTTCTTTTTTTGGAAAGTTCTCAAAATATGACTAAAACAATTTAAAAATTTCAAAATAGGCGTGCCATGTTTTTTGTTCCCAAAATAGGAGTAATAATTGCCAAGTTTGGAAAATAATGCTAAAAATGACAATAATTACTCCTATTTTGGGAATAAAAACACGACACTCCTATTTTGGAATTTTCAAACCTTTTTTATCCTATTTTGAGTAATATTCTCTTCTTTTTTGGTACAAAGGACGGAGTATATATATCTCAAAACTCAAGAGTATGATATATCCTCCCATTTTAGCCCATGCGTTAATTATGTATAATTAATCAAAAAGTGAAATGAAGTAAAAATAATTATGACAGTGTAATAAAAACTAGGGAGTATAAAAAAGATCTTCTTGAGTACTTTGTATTATACTTTTGCTATTTTACACGGAGTAATATGGAGTAGTATTTTAAAACTACTATCTATGTGAGCATGTATATATTAAAAATATTACGTAGTAATAGAAGTAATCATATGAAATGTAGTTAATGTATTTATCAAAAAAATAAAAGTATAGTGCAAACAAAACCGCTACATTATCAAACATCAACTTCAATTGGGCAATCATAGCGACATGTCAAAATATTTAATAGAATAACAAAAATTGATCAATCATCGTTGATGTACACACTCTTGTACACACCTTATACACACCATGTTTGTGAAGCTTTTTTTTGTCTGTGAATCTGGTTCACAGACAATATTTTGTTTGTGCAAAACATTGTCTGTGAATCGATGTTCACAGACAAAAAAAACTCTTTCACAGACATATATGTGTACAAAAGTGTGTATAACAATATAAGAGTGCGTATACAAAAACGGTTGTGTAGCAAGATTCTACGGTACGTAATACGACTACCTACATCGATCACTACACGTCACTCATAAGTCACAAGTGACCTGTCTAAAGTAAGATTTTCAATAGCCATTAAAATCAACTCAACTTTTTTTAACATGCACTCCATCTATAATATAAATTACGTAGTAAAAAAGTAGGACTAATAATTATGGTAGAAAAAATTTAAAAAGGTAAAAAAAGAAATTTAAAAAGGCAAAAAAGAGATGATTAATTTTTTTGATAAGAGGTTCCAATAATGGATCGGAAGCCGGTCAAATAATAAAAAGTATTCCAAAAAGAACATATATGGCAATAATGGAAGAAATGAGGGAGTATTTAATTTTATAGAGTAAATTTTTGTTTATTTTCAAATTCAATTTTACTTAAGTTTGGATGATTGGTCCCAATATATAATGGATCTGAGTATAATAGTACATTATATAGTAGTATGGATAGCTAGAATGTTTTGACTTGGACCGTAATTCGTCCCAGACCAGACCAGACTAAAACAGATCAGACCAGACCAGACCAGACTAAAACAGACCAGACCAGACCATACCATATTATTATTATTATTATTATTATTATTATTATTATTATTATTATTATTATTATTATTATTATTATTATTATTATTATTAGGGGTGTGCACCGGTTCAAAACCGGACCGGACCAGACCGAACCGGACCGGATATCATTCTGGTTCGATCCGGTTCCGGTTTTTCCGTTCCGGTTATGTCCGGTTTTCCGGTTTAAATCAGCTAGTGCACACCCCTAATTATTATTATTATTATTATTATTATTATTAGGGGTGTGCACGGACCGGACCGTACCGAACCGGACCGGATATCATTCTGGTTCGATCCGGTTCCGGTTTTTCCGGTCCGGTTCTGTCCGGTTTTCCGGTTTAGACCGGCTAGTGCACATCCCTAATTATTATTTTTATTATTATTTATTATTATTATTATTTTTATTATTATTAGGGGTGTGCACCGGTTCAAAACCGGACCGGACCGGACCGAACCGGACCGGATATCATTCCAGTTCGACCCGGTTTCGGTTTTTCCGGTCCGGTTCGGTCCGGTTTTCTGGTTTAAACCGGATAGTGCACACCCCTAATTATTATTATTATTATTATTGTTGTTGTTATTGTTATTATTATTTGTAATTATAAATGAATAAAATATAATTATTTATGGATTATAATATATATATAAAATAAAATCTTTATGCAAAAAATATAAAAAATAAAATTTCAGACCAGACCAGACCAAAACAGACCAGACTAGACCAGACCAGACCAGCAAATTACAATACAAGTAAAAACATCCTAGATCACATCCGAAAAATCACACTTAAATATAGCAAATCACTCTTAAACATTGGACCAAACTTAAAATATCAGATCATATAAAAAATTAGTCTAAGAAAGAAACATTCTTGAATTTACATAAAAATGATTTTAAACATAATCGATCAAGAATCTTGAAATAAATCGAAGCGAGCCAAATTGTACCCAATTGAACCGCAAATTATATGGTGCAACCGGCGCACCATGAGGATGGTGCGCCCGGTTGCAAAAACGACGCAGTTTTATCTTTTTTTTTTGTTTTTTTTTTGCTTTTAATGTTAAAAATGATAATAACTTTTTTATTTTTGATCCGATTTTTATAAAATTTATATCAACATTTTTTATTTTTCATGATCTTTCAAATGAGACCAATATTGTGTATGTAATTTTAAGAAATTATCGAACTATTATATTAATGAGTATTGGATTATAAGAAAAATCGAATCTGTTCGGGAGATGATAGGTTTGTGAAATAGAAGATCGAATCTGTTTGGGAGTGGATCAGTGGCCTCAGTTACATTTGATAATACATTGAGTTACATCTTTTTATGAGCGAGTTACATCTTTTTATAAGCGAGTTACATCTTTTTATAAGCAAGTTACATCTTTTTATAAGCGAGTTACATATATATATATACACACGAGTTGCATTTGACATGTCTGAACGCGACTTACATATATTTACACGTAAAGTTACATATTTTTACACGTAAAGTTACATATTTATACACGCGAGTTACATATTTATACACACGAGTTGCATGTGACCTGTCTGAATGCGAGTTACATATTTTTTTACGTAAAGTTACATATTGTTACACGTAGAGATACATATTTATACACACCAGTTGCATTTGACTTGACTGAACGTGAGTTACATATTGTAACACTTAAAGTTACATATTTCACACACAAATGTTAATATGTTAAAATTACATAGGCAATATTGGTCTCATTTGAAAGATCATGAAAAATAAAAAATGTTGATATAAATTTTATAAAAATCGGATCAAAAATAAAAAAGTTATTACCATTTTTTAAAAGCAAAAGGAAACAAAAAATATAAATTCGTCCCGGTATACGGTGCTCACCGTATACCGGTTGCACCGTATACGCACTCAACGTGACATTGCATGTTTCCTACTCCTGTATTTTGTTTATTTTTATCATTATTCTTTAAAGACACTCTTTTCCCTATCACTTTTCTGATTATGTTACTCGGAAGAATAATACTTATTTGGGTTATTTTCATATAACTGTTTCTTATTTTCATATGATGACAATTCAAGCTTTTGTTTTTCTCCAAATGATGGTCAATCACTTTGCTCAATGTTCAATATCATGACACGCACCTTTAATTTGCCCAAGTTTAAAGATGCATTCAAAGTGAATATCATAGAAAAACAGAAACACATTTATTAGATGATGAAAATAGACTCGCAATAATCAATTAATTAATTAATCACCTAATGAACGAATATACCACATGCATGAATAGCAATATGTTTGCATTGTGAAATAAAGGGAATTGGGTATAACATACTTTGCTTAAAATTAATTCAATTAGTTTTGATTTTAATTATTATTATGATGTTTTATTTTTCCATAAATTTAATTACTTTAATTATAGGTTGTAATAAGTTTAATGTGTTAAGAGACAAATATTTAAAGGGCATTTAAGTAATTCACCAAATATGCAATATAAGACATCATTTAATCAAACAAGTTAATGTCACATTCCCTTAATCGTAACCAAACACAAATGAGTTATACATTAAACATATTCTCATCTATCTAACATACCTGGTAATCTAACATTCCCATGTTAATCTGACATTCCATGAACCAAACGGGCCCTTAGGGTGGGTTTGGGAGTTGGTTTTTGGAGGAGAGGGGAAGGCGTGTAAGGGAAATAAGTCTTCCTATTTGTGTTTGGGAGTAAATAATGAGGGAAAGGTTTTGGGGGTGTTATAAAATCCTTATAAACCCTCCAAAATCTGGCTTTTTTAATTCCCCCGATTTGAGGGTTTTATAAGGTCTAGCTCCACAAATGAGAGATTTATCCTTTGAAGGTAATATCGCTTCCACATAAAATCTTTATGAGTTGCTATTCGCTTCATTTCTCCGCCACTGAAACCACTCAAGTCCTTAAACCCTCCTCTTTTTAAATTTGCAACTCCCAAACAAGAGGAGGGAATCCCGTCCCATCTTCCTCACTTTCCCATCTTCTTTCTACACTTGTACCGTTGTACCATGACTATCGTTAGTATAGAAGGAAACGAATATAGTAGACAACATATTTGCGAATATATTCGATCTCAAGTGAATAATTTGTACAAAAATATTTAACATGAGTTGTCTTTTTTGTTTGGTTAATTTGTAGCTTTAATGCGACAATGATGCTGGAAAGCCTTCGAGGGAAGAGGATGATGTTTGTGGGGGATTCCTTGAACCGGGGCCAGTTTGTCTCCATGGTTTGTCTTCTCCATAAAATTATCCCAGAGAAAGCCAAATCTATGCAAGAAAATGGCTCACTCACCGTTTTCACGGCTAAGGTGAACTAATCCAACCTCATCTATTCATTAACCGATATAGATAGTAGTATGACATTGTATTATATATTACTTCGTATAAGAATTTGTTCTAGATATAATTAAATAAAGGGAAAATCACATATATGGTCCTTCAGTCATCCATGAAATTAAAATCTCAAACCTGTATTTCTGATATTGTAAATGTCACTTCTCAATTGTCTAAAATGTTGTAAATGTGGTCCTTTTGAGGGGTGAAATATACAATGTGGGCGAGAGTGCAATTCACCACTTAAAGGACCACATTTACAACAATTTGGACAATTGAGGGGTGACATTTACAATCTCAGAAATACAAGTCTGAGATTTTAATTTCGTGGATAACTAAGGGACCATATATGTGATTTTCCCTTAAATAAAACATGTGAAAAGTTTTAAAACAATGATGGACTTCATATCCATAGTAGTTAAGTTATGAGTAAAGATGAATTTACGACAGTTTACATCTGGATTATTTCAAGATTATTTGTAAATTCAGAAGTGTACATTTAGTGAGCGCAGGACACACAAAAACTTGATTGTTTGAAGATGATGAGTAGGGGATTATAGGGCTTGTTCTTATTACAAAGAGATTGAGACAATACTTTAAAAGCGAGGATCTTAAAAAATCTAACACAAATTGCACTAAATAAGAGTAAAAATATGGGTATTATGTTTTTCTATAAATAGAAATAATAATTACAATTATGACACCAATAAAAACATATTAGTTTCTGATAAAGGGAAATAGATTAGTTCATATCGTGGGATCGTCCCACGATGAGCACCTTGCTCCTGTGCTCAATACAACGCAGTTTTGCACAATTTTTAATTAAAAGTTTTCACACACGTGTACATGTACAGTAATTAATTTTTGTTTTTGTCATGTCCCAATAGCAGAATGACGTGACTCACGTGTAAAGAAATGTAACTCACGTTAAAAATATTGATTTCAATTTAATCAATAAAGAAAGGAGTCTAATTGCTTATTTACTTTACCTAAATAGTGAATATGTTCTGGTTTTAATATTAAGAACATAAAACATTTTTAAAGAAATCGTTTTTTACCAAAAAATCATGTTTTTCACAAAAAAATTGATTTATAAAGGCTAAAGGGTCAAATAGGCCCATGTACCTTTCCGGATTGTTCAATTTGCCCCCCGAACTCAAAAAAAACTTCAATTGGCACCCTGAACTCCATAAAAATATTCAAATTTTACTTTTTGCAGGTCACAAACCGGTCACCACCACATCACCGGGTAGGGTGCCAACTGTGCATGTGACATGGCAACTTAGGGGGTCAGAAAAGCCCCTGAACTCAACTGAAATGTTCAATTTAGCCCCTCAACCCTTAATTTTTTTTGACATTTTTAGGGTTGAGGGGCAAATTGAACGATTCGATCGGGTTCAGGGGCTTATTTGACCCCCTAAGTTGCCACGTTACATGCACAGTTGGCACCCTACCGGGTGACGTGGCGGTGACCGGATTGAAACCTGCAAAAAGTGAAATTTCAATATTTTTATCGAGTTCAGGGTGCTAATTGGAGCTTTTTTGGGTTGAGGGGGCAAATTGAGCAATCCAAAAGGGTACAAGGACCTATTTGACCTTTTAGCCATTTATAAAAAATGATATTTTGGATTTAATAAAATGAGTTTATTTTGTGATGTAACTCATGCTATGGAAAATGTAACTCGCGTTGATAGAAAATCTAACTTATGTGTATGCAAAATGTAACCTTTTGAGGCAAGTCCAAATATACTCGCGAATAGAAAGATATAAGTCACGCACAAAAAGATGTAACTCGTGCATAAAAAGACATAACTTCATATAATATCAAATGTAACTATAGAAATTGTCTATAAACATAACCCACACTTATGGAAAATGTAATCTCATGATGTTTTCAAATTTAAATCGAAATAAACAAACTTAATGTCTTCAAAAGACAAAAAACATATAAAAGAGATAATAAATATATTATAGAAAAAAGTGTATAAATATAAAAAAGATTTAAAAAAAAGTGTTTAAATATAAAATAAACTACACTTTTACCCTCCATCTTTACCCTAATTAATAGGACTAAATAGATGGATAATTATAATAATAGGAGTTTAATGTATAAATTCCCATAATAGGACTAAGTCTTCCTATTATACTCTTTCAATTCCCTTGTCCTTCCTAATAGGATTTTAATAATAATCATTACAAAACAAAACAAAAAAAAGATCGTAAAAAATTAATAAAAAATACAGAGACCTCAACCACCACCTCAGCCACCTTCCAGCACCGCCACCTCCAGTCGGCGGAAAAGATTGCCAAGTTAGGAAAAAAATATCACCGTGATGGCAATTTTGAAAAGAAAGTTGAATATTTTCAAAGAGTAAAAATATCATCTTTATGGTGTATTCAGAGAAATGTGACATTTTTTACACGAGATAGACATTTTTTTCGGCGATCGAAGGTGTTGGTGTTGGGTGGTGGAGGATGCAGATGTAATGGCCTACATATTTTTTAATATTTCTTTAGGTATTTTATTTTATTTTTTTTAGATCTTTTTATATTTTTAAAATATTTTTTATTTTTAAAACATTTTGTTATTTTTTTTTATTCTATATTTTTTATTAATTTATAAATATTTTTACGATTTTTTATTTTTTTTATTATAAATAAAACTATGATTTTTTTGTATTAATAAATAAATCTATTAGAAATTATAGGTTAGGGGTAGAGTAGGAAAAAGAGACATATAATACTCCTATTTTGGGAATAAAAAGAGTACCGTCTTAATGTGGAATTTTGGGCTACTTTTAGTCTCATTTAGGGCTAATAGCCGAAAATAAATCCGTTAGTAATTGAGTTGAAGAAAAAATAGTAAAAAATAGTGTATGAATATGAAATACAATATACTTATTTTATGTGGATTAATAAAATTTTGTAATAAATTAGTAAAGAAAAAAATCATTCAGTTGTAATTTAATTAGTTAAAGATAAAATAAGTAAAAAAAGCCAAATAATTAGATGTAACTCGCGCATAAAAAAATGTAACTCGTGCATAAAGTGTATAAGAAGATGTAACACACTCATAATAAGATATAACTCACACATAAAAAGATGTAAATTCATATTTATTTATTAAGTGTAATTCCAAGAATCAAAATAAACAACAAAGTGTAAATATAACTTGTGTCCGCATAACCGCACGGGTAGCTCAGTTGGTCGAGTGGTGGGAAAATTGGACTAAGTGACCAAGGTTCGAAACCTGCAGCGGCCGTATGGAGGTTACAGAACCTGAAATAAGGCTGGACCTCTGTTGCGCACGCGTATAAAGCCTACCGTCGCTTTGCTGACTGAAACACCGTGATTAACCTCCTCACCATCCTGTCAGGTCGGGGTGGGGGCCTTGGGGTTGGACATTCAACCTTTTGGACCAAACTTGTGTCCGCATTATATATGCATTTTCAAACTTGTCATATTCAGAATTGGCGGCCTTCCACCTTTGTCTCCCTAAAAGGTTAAACGCACAAATAACTTTTTTAACAATGCATATGTATACTTGAGTATTTTTTCAAGAAAAGGGAATGAGTAACTTTTTGTTAATACAACATCTAAGCTTTATTTATTTTGAAATGGTTTTGAGGTCGACTAACATAAAACAATTCATGATAACTTGTTGTAATAAACAAACAAATTATATAATTAATGAAGTTCGTGTTTAATACATGGTAGTTACCCCCCAAATTACCCAATGCTAATTGAATTGAACAAATACAATACATAATCATCCTAAAGAAATGCATAAACCAATTTTGATTAACTAATTAATCTGTTAACCAATGCAGGATTATAATGCGACAATCGAGTTCTACTGGGCACCATTTCTTCTAGAGTCGAATTCAGATGATGCAATCGTACATAGGATACAAGACAGAGTGGTTCGTAAAGCTTCTATAAACAAACATGGCAAACATTGGAAAGGGGTTGACATAACCGTCTTCAACACTTACCTTTGGTGGATGATTGGTGTAGACTTCAAAATACAGTAAGTAAAAATGATCATATGTTATACGGAGTAAGTCACATACTCCGTATTTAGGACGCTTTCACCTTAATTGCTTTGATTTTCGATCATTTTCGATTTCACCAGAGTTAAACCGACCAGATAAGAAATAGGTGAAGATATTACGAACATACATGCACTTGATATGGACCTTTACTGGATCATATCGGACCGAAATAGATAAAAAATTAGTTCAAATGAAAACACTACTCAACTTATGTTAAGACTCAGAGTTCCATCCTAAAAGGTCAATCTGATAGGAGGAGTAACACATGTCTTAATATAGCACTTCGTCGATTCAAACATTTCCAATGTGGGACTCTAACACCCCTCCTGATCACGACTAGACTCTTCGTCAGGATCGTGCTGTCATTCATTTTTTTCATCGGTTCGTCATTGTCATATTTTTATAATCATGTCGTCATTTTTCATAGGGGCCCAACACCGTGAATTGATTTGGCTAAATGTTAAAGTATTTGTCCTACACCGGAAAGCTATAAAATAATAAAACACTATATAAGGTTTTGGGCTACTCCTCCTATTAGGTTGACATTTTAGGATGGAACACGAATCTTAACATGGTATCAGAGTCAATTCAGGTTGTGGTTTGACTGCTTATTTCGAACCCATGATTACGGGTAGCTTGTTTAGGGTCTGTTTGGCTTATTTATACACCCCGATGTTGTCCAGCCCGATTCGGGTTGAGGGGCCATGTTAAAGTATTTGTCCTACACCATAAATCTATAAAACATTAAAACACTATATAAGACTTTGAGTTACTCTTTCTATTAGGTTGACCTTTTAGGATGAACCCGCGTCTTAACAACCTATTGATTAGATTTTCAATATAAAATTTTTAACAATTTTTTGGTCATATCAGATTTTCATTCATTTATGTACCAAGTTGCATGATATTAGGCACATCATATCGCATATGATTTTATTGTACAATTAGAAATTCATGTAACTTGATTTATTAATAAGAGTAAATTTGGACCCGCAAATATGGTTAATTGTGCTAGGTTATGAAAAATACCATGCGCTTCAACAAGTTAAAAGTTAAAACTACTCCTTAGTAATTTACGGAGTATTTTTTAATTTTAAATTTTCATATGTAATTTTTATTAGTAAAACAATTAAAGGAGCATCTTAATTTAATGCCAATTGACCGTAATGCTCTTACGAAAACAATTGTCTATTTTATTACAGACACATAAAAAGTCAATGTGAGAATTATTCTATATTTGTATCTTTATAAAAAAATACTCCGTATGTTTTTATAACGAAGATGAATAATACTAATAAAAATTTAAACGTTTGTATAAAAGGATGACTAGTTTTAAATTTAATTCTAATTATAATGAATGTTAACATTTTTTTTACGAGAGCTAGCTATAAAGTAAACTAATTTATAGTATTTTTATAGCTATAAACCAATTGAACTGATTCAGTAGGGAAGCATGTTAATACTTTGTATGTGGCATGTCGCATAGCATGACACTTAACAGAAATGAATGAAATTAAAAAGACAAGATAAAATTAAGAAGCAGTAATTTAATACAAGTTTTATATAGTTGAATAATCAAATGTTTTATCGTCTAATTGGCTCTAATACTATAATAAGATCTATTGTTTCACACAATGTCAATCTCATAGGAGAAGTCCTAGACTTTATGTGTCAATTTATATTTTCATATGCATTCGGTATGAGATAGGTTAATAATATTGTCTTATCCTTATTCCCAGAGGTCTTTTTAGTGAAATGTTTGTTGGCTATTAAAAAAAGTTGCATTTTAGTCACAATTTTTGTTCTAGCGGTTACCTCTTCTATGAATCAAGGAAGAACTAATACTAGTATTAATTTAAAATTATGATAAACTTACCTCAGCTTGAAAATGGATGAATAAAAGATAAAAATAACGATTTATAACTTCTATACACTAAGAATATAATGTACAGTTTATAATTAAAAATTACACCTTGTGGAGGCGGGGGGGGGGGGGGGGGGGGGGGGTATTTTCGTTGCCAACATGCAAACTTTTAATTATGCTGCTGAAACAATATCAGCCAAATATTTTATTTTTGGAGGTCTTTTTTTGAAATTTTGATTTTCTTTTAATATATACGGGAAAAAATCAATATTTACTTTCACATGTTTATTATATGTAATTATGCAGGCAATCAGGGAGAATTGAAGATAAAGAGAAAGATGTTGTGATAATGCCAACGGATGATGCTTATCGTATGGCAATGAAAAGTATGGTGAGATGGGTGAAGAAAAACATGGACCCAAAGCGAACAAGAGTCTTCTTCACCAGTATGTCCCCTTCTCATCAAAGGTCAGTACCAACCTTATGCTTGGTATACATTATACGATAGTATATAGGAACGGTTCCGGTAAGAACAGACTCCCAAGAGACAAATGAGAATGAATCTGAACCATTGGATTGTATTATGTGACACTGAATTGTGCATTTGGTGAAACTGAAATGTCCATCAGATGATATTGATATGTGCAAAATAAAAATTTAAACTCAAGTGTGCATTAGGCCATTGTATCGTACCCTCTGTGCTGCACATTTCAATTTCACCTAATGCACATTACAATTTCATCTAATGCACGTTGAGTTTCACTTAAAGCAAATCTAACAGTCCATATTCATTCTCATTTCTCTCCTAAGGTCATGTTCTTATTTGAACCAACCCCCCCCCCCCCCTCTCTCTCTCTATATATATATATAATTGTGTTAATGATAAGTAAGTTAGTATATATATGGTATAAGTCTTTTAAAAGGATCAATGAATGCTGGATTTTTAAAATCAGAGTTTTCCAACTTAATTGAACGTTTTACTTAAAAATGATTACGGATGAATTGTCTAAAATAAAAGCTACACTTACAAATAAACTCAACTTATAGCCTTGTCTCTATTATATTAATAATCCTACATTATGTTTATTCCTTTGACTTGACCACTTTTAAATATTTATATTTTCCTCCAATATGTAGACATTCACTTTAAAATTTCTGATGCTTAACATAGTTTATTGAATTGTAAACTAATGGATTAAGTTGTTTATTCTTTTAGGGGTCAAGATTGGGGAGGTGAAACAAGTGAGAATTGTTACAATCAAACAACACTGATAGAAGATCCCAACTATTGGGGATCAGATTGCAGAAGAAGCATAATGCAAGTGATTAGTGAGGAATTTGAAAAGTCAAGAGTCCCAATAACATTTTTAAATATAACACAGCTATCAAGTTATAGGAGAGATGCACATACATCAATCTACAAAAAGCAATGGAACCCTTTGACTCCTGAACAGCTGGCCAACCCAATTAGCTATGCTGATTGTGTACATTGGTGTTTGCCTGGACTTCAAGACACATGGAATGAACTTTTATTTGTCAAACTCTTTTACCCTTGATTTTATTTTTTGCTTTCCTTTTGTACAAAATATATGGCAACTATATACTTGGTATATAAACTAAAGCTTTTTGCATGTAAGATGGCTTCCCTTGAGTGGAAATGAAATGTTTCAATACTTGATATGTTTCGAAATGTTATTTTTCAAAAATTTAAAGTATAAAGAAATTGTCCTACACAAGTATGGAAAGAAGTTAATTTCTCTAACTAGGAGTATCATTTTTTTTCATAAATAAGAATAATTTGCATCATCCCAAAAAAAATTGTCATTATATAATACTAACAACCACATACTAATACTAATGTTGGATAACAAAATAAAATGTTAGTATCATTTCCCGATGAGACTGTTTTCTTTTATTTGGAGGGAATCTATTAGTCATTATTATATTACTATTCTTATATATTTCTACACTTAGGGCATCTATTAGGTATTATGATTGTATATATCCAGCCTTTTGATTTTGTGAGGTGAATTGTTATTAGGGCATGTGCTAATAGTTTTCACTATATTATTTGGAATATTGCCCCAAATATATCATCCTTTGTTGTAATTCTATATATTGCTCACGAGTTTGTAATAATAAAGACATGAGAAGAACTATTCTGTCATGGTTTCACTTTATATCAATATGGTACCAGAGCAAATAATATTATAGTAAATTTTTGTAGTGAGCAATATCCTTTCCTCCTCCGCTATCATAGATGAGACTACCTCTCCGGCCAAAATCAACCATACATCTCCTTTCCTCCCAAAGCCTCAAAATAGATTGAGAGAATATGTAACTATGGGTTGTTTAACCAAAAAAAGTTATGACAATTGGTCAAGTTCAGTCCGCCTTGCACTTTGTGCTAGACATAAATTTGACTTCATCAATGAAGTGATAGATGCACCAAAACCATCATACATGGAGGAAGACTGGTTGACCATACACTCCATTTTGGTCTCATGAACTATGAATACCATATCTCTTGAGGTAAAACTCATTTTGTCTAAATTTGATGATGCAAAGTTACTTTATTTGGAATGATTTGAAGAAACGTTTTTCGGTGATCGATGATCCTAAAGTCTACCAAGTTGAAATTGATATTGCTAGGTGTGCACAATCTCACACACAAACTACTGCCACATATTACGGAAGGCTTAAAGTTTTATGGGATGACCTCAATAATTATGTGTCATTGATAAGTTGCTCTTGTGGTAAATGTAGACTCCTACACTCTTGGACAAAACATGCATCAAACCATGTCCTTGATGCCACGACTCTAGGGCCTGCACCGGTTACAATCTCCGTGGTTTTCACGTTCCCATACCTTTTGTCACAATGAGATGGTGGACTCCATCCCATACAAAAACAATCACATGCCTACCACAGGACGACAAAGTAATTGTATACGAAAGTGGTATTTGTGACCAAACTATTTCTAGGTTTTGATCTCCCATATACTGAGAGGCCAATGACGAATACATCAGAAACATACAGGCATACAACGGTCCAACTTATATTGCGTGTTGCACATTCCATGGTTGTGGATGCACAAATCCGGCTACCTACCTATTGCTCTACGAGTGTTTAGGGTTTCTCTAATGATCGATACAATTGTGGTTGCCTTTGGTTACCATACTTCTCCAACTATAGGGTGCATGTTACATTTGATACAAATTGCTTGATAATTTATGCATGAGCTACTAATCATGTTACATGAAACTTTACATGTCTATCTCATATTTCCCACGGCCTACTTGACTCCCAAATGGTCAACAAGCCCTTGCTACTAAAGATGGATATATTCACTGTCCAAAGATATTTGCCTAAAAATGTTATTATGTTCCAAAATAAGCATGCAGTTTAATTTCTGTCACATAACTCATTGACGACTCACCCTTTCCCTCCAATTCTCTTCTATCATGTGTGCTATACAAGACCTTTAAATGTGGAAGCTGATTGGACTCGGTAAGCTTCAACATAGACTTTACTATTTTTGCACGGAAGGATTAATTCATGCACTTGCTATCAATGGCTCGTCTATTTCTGTGGATATTTGGCATCATTTGTTGGGATATCGGATCCCTCTTGGAAAACTAGTATCCTCACCCGTGTGTTGCACCAGATGTAATTGTCAAATCATAAATATGTGTACATGTAAGTTTATAAGAAAAATAGTAATTTCCATCATCTTTTTTACAATCAATAGTTTTAACTGATTATTAACTGTCACCCATATCTAAACACTTCTATATTGAATTGTTATTGAACATTATTATTAGACCCTTTTTTAACAAGAAATGTATTCACAAAGTTTTGTGATGGTTATTCCCTATGAATGTACCTAAAAAATCCTTACCCCTTGTGGGATATGTCACAAAGCTAAACGATCCGGGGATCCTTTCCCTTATAATACTAATAAAACAACCCAGATATTTGAAGTCATCCATTACGACGCTTAAGGGCCTTACAATAGTTCATCTTCTAGTGGAGCTTAAAGTTTGTTACAATTGTGGATGATTGTTCTCGAGCAATTTGGGTACTTGTTGACTAGTAAAAGGCATTTACCATTTTTTATGAATTTTGTTGCAATGATTGGGTGCCAGTTCACTAGTAAAAATTGATGGTTTAGAGTGACAACGCAACATAGTTTAACTATTTAAAATGTCATTTCTTTGAAAATGACATTGTTTTCCAAACATCTTATGTAGGAACTCCGATCCTCAACATAATGGATCGGTGGAGCGGAAACATAATCATATTCTTGATGTTGCCCGAGCATTAAGATTTCAAGGACAATAACCTATACTCCCTCTGTCTCCTAAAATTATGCCAAGTTTGACCGACACGGGGATTAATAAAGTAAAAAACTGTGTGGTTGAGGTTTGTGCAGACGAGAGAGAATTATCTGGAACCATAAATTTTTTACTTAAAAGGGGAAGTGACAAAGTTAGTGGAACATCCAAAAAAGAAAAGTTGACAAAGTTTTAAGGAACGAAGGGAGTATCTTTTAAGGGGAATGTGTTATCACTGCAGCACCTCTTATTAATTATACTGTTGGATAATCGATACCCATATTGTATGAAAAGGAGAGATTGAACAGGAAAGAAGGAGAAGAAGTAGTATTGTGTATGAATGTGAGTTTGTGTATGTTCTTTACAAGCCTCCTATAAGAAGTATATATAGGGAAATCCAGGTCTGAGCCTCTAATACGGGCCTGACAGACCCGGTTACATAAATGGACTTATAATATGAAAAGCTAATCTAGAACATCTAAATAATAATGTACAACAATATGAATCCACTAAACGTGTGTGGGCCGCTGTCCAGGCCCAATAGTCGGCAGGCCGGGGGGTCGGGGTCCATATACTCCATCAGGAGTCCCCCACTCCCTGAGTCGAGAGTTCTCGAGGCGAAAGGGAGTAGTCCAAACTGTATCTGCAACGTTCTTCTGTCTTTGATTTCTTCTTCTTCGGCCGGGGGACCACCACCCTTGTTCATGATGGGGAGGTGCCTCGTTAAAAACCTTTACTAGGAAAAAACCCAGTGGGAAAAAATCCTAATAAAGGGAAAAAGAGTACACCTAGCGCCCCCAACATGAAACAAGGAAGGTAGGCCCCCCCGGCATAATCACTTTTGTCTAGCTCAACCCGTCTTCATCTGACTTAGCTCTTGTTCCTACTCATGCGTGATATTTGCTGCTCATCTAGAAATTCTGACCCTCAGTCCCCCAGGCCCCCGCTCCTTGAGGCGAGTGGAGACGAGGCGAAAATGAGTAAAGTCATCTTCGTACCTACACATTTAACATGCATATAAATTTTTTTCTTGGGGTTTATGTGTCCGATCGAGAGTTCGTCACTTGAAAAAATGGAAATGTGAATTGTCAATGTAATGATAAAATACTTAGTAGAGTGGACATGCGAGCCATTCGTACGCAACGGTCCCCACTCTTGGAATGACTAAGACCGGTCTTCGTGCCCGACTTGGTCGGGGCTTTGTGCCTGACTTGGTCAGGGCTTTGTGCCTGACTTGGTCAGGGCTTTGTGCCTGCTCTGGGTCAGGGCTTTAAATCCTAGTGATGGGTCTCAAGCCACAGTCTACTAGGCATTTGATCATAATTGCGTGATAGTGTGACATTTATCCGAAAAAAATGATTTAAATAAACATAGAAAATATTAAAATTGATGAGTACTTATCTTTGATGGGCTGAAATTGTTGGGCTGAGAATTGGTAAACTTTTGATCGGATTCCCACGGTTCTAAGAGTTTCGTGGGATCAATTTAGATTCCTCTCTTCAATTTTGACTTGGTCAAACTGGTCATCCATCATGTTGCTGCAGTCCGCCATCTTATCTTATCCGAAGTAGGCAGCTTCCTCCTACGCCAAGTCTTCTCATGAGGAGATTTCATCACAGCTTGGCTGGTGGGTTTTATCCGATGTCGACGAAGAGAGGGGGGCAAAGCAATGCTTGGGCATTTGGATCCACCGTCACCGCTGCTCTCAGGGGGATCTCCGACTCTTGCTGCAGAAGAGAGCGGCGGTAGAGAAATCCGAAAATGCAACTCCTTTGTCGTGGTGGAGCTTCACCGCCGGAATGGGGCCGCTTCAGAGCCGGAGGTCGCGAGGCTGAGCAACTGCTTCTTAGACGTTTCTACTGCTGGGTGAGAGGCGTCATCGGTGGATGTCGCTGCTGCTAAGTGTGAATTTTCCAACGACTGTGTGGCTCCGATTGGGCTTTGCCGCTGGATCTACAATTTGGGTTGGGAACAGAGCTTCGTCCACCGTCGCTAGAACTGTACTCGCCATTAATGGCTGTCAGAGGTCCACAGGTTTTCCAGGTCGTAGGTTTGCGGTGGCTTCGGTGTGCTGAACCGATAGCTGAGCCGACGAGAGTTGCAACAAAGCGGCGAACTTCATGTAGTGCGGCCAGGTGAGCGAGCTTCGCAATGGTCGTGACAACTCCGATTAGTTGACTGAGTCTGCCGGAGTCCAGATCGCATCGGAAAAGTTTCAGATCCGGGAATTACAGATTTCCGTCTCTTCTTTTTTTTAGATCTTTTAGACTGATTTTCTGTGATTTGGGTGGATTTTTTTGTTGTTTTGGGAGGTTTTCTCACTTGATTGTGTTCAAACCTCTCATTTGGTGCTCTCGTTGAGAGGTTGAACAATCAAGTAAG